ACTCCATTTCAGAACGAACTTCCTACGAACCTGAATAGTCCGATTTCATGGACCAATCGATATCGGATTGAGTCCAAAACTTGGGAACAACATAATATGGTGGGAGGAGTCATTTGGTTGGTTTTGAGTGAAATGCAATGGCTAAAACTATGCAATACACCAACCACTCCATTTCAGAACGAACTTCCTACGAACCTGAATAGTCCGATTTCATGGACCAATCGATATCGGATTGAGTCCAAAACTTGGGGAACAACATAATATGGTGGGAGGAGTCATTTGGTTGGTTTTGAGTGAAATCCAATGGCTAAAACTATGCAATACACCAACCACTCCATTTCAGAACGAACTTCCTACGAACCTGAATAGTCCGATTTCTTGGACCAATCGATATCGGATTGAGTCCAAAACTTGGGGAACAACATAATATGGTGGGAGGAGTCATTTGGTTGGTTTTGGAGTGAAATCCAATGGCTAAAACTATGCAATACACCAACCACTCCATTTCAGAACGAACTTGCTACGAACCTGAATAGTCCGATTTCATGGACCAATCGATATAGGATTGAGTCCAAAACTTGGGGAACAACATAATATGGTGGGAGGAGTCATTTGGTTGGTTTTGAGTGAAATCCAATGGCTAAAACTATGCAATACACCAACCACTCCATTTCAGAACGAACTTCCTACGAACCTGAATAGTCCGATTTCATGGACCAATCGATATCGGATTGAGTCCAAAACTTGGGGAACAACATAATATGGTGGGAGGAGTCATTTGGTTGGTTTGGAGTGAAATCCAATGGCTAAAACTATGCAATACACCAACCACTCCATTTCAGAACGAACTTCCTACGAACCTGAATAGTCCGATTTCATGGACCAACGATATCGGATTGAGTCCAAAACTTGGGGAACAACATAATATGGTGGGAGGAGTCATTTGGTTGGTTTTGAGTGAAATCCAATGGCTAAAACTATGCAATACACCAACCACTCCATTTCAGAACGAACTTCCTACGAACCTGAATAGTCCGATTTCATGGACCAATCGATATCGGATTGAGTCCAAAACTTGGGGAACAACATAATATGGTGGGAGGAGTCATTTGGTTGGTTTTGAGTGAAATCCAATGGCTAAAACTATGCAATACACCAACCACTCCATTTCAGAACGAACTTCCTACGAACCTGAATAGTCCGATTTCATGGACCAATCGATATCGGATTGAGTCCAAAACTTGGGGAACAACATGATATGGTGGGAGGAGTCATTTGGTTGGTTTTGAGTGAAATCCAATGGCTAAAACTATGCAATACACCAACCACTCCATTTCAGAACGAACTTCCTACGAACCTGAATAGTCCGATTTCATGGACCAATCGATATCGGATTGAGTCCAAAACTTGGGGAACAACATAATATGGTGGGAGGAGTCATTTGGTTGGTTTTGAGTGAAATCCAATGGCTAAAACTATGCAATACACCAACCACTCCATTTCAGAACGAACTTGCTACGAACCTGAATAGTCCGATTTCTTGGACCAATCGATATCGGATTGAGTCCAAAACTTGGGGAACAACATAATATGGTGGGAGGAGTCATTTGGTTGTTTTGGAGTGAAATCCAATGGCTAAAACTATGCAATACACCAACCACTCCATTTTAGAACGAACTTCCTACGAACCTGAATAGTCCGATTTCATGGACCAATCGATATCGGATTGAGTCCAAAACTTGGGGAACAACATAATATGGTGGGAGGAGTCATTTGGTTGTTTTTGGAGTGAAATCCAATGGCTAAAACTATGCAATACACCAACCACTCCATTTCAGAACGAACTTGTACGAAACTGAATGTCCAATTTCATGGACCAATCGATATCGGATTGAGTCCAAAACTTGGGAACATCATAATATGGTGGGAGGAGTCATTTGGTGGTTTGGAGTGAAATCCAATGGCTAAAACTATGCAATACACCAACACTCCATTTCAGAACGAACTTCTACGACCTGAATAGTCCGATTATTCATGGACCAATAGAGATCGGGAGTGAGTCCAAAACTTGAGGAAAAACAACAAATATGGTGGGGGAGTCACCCTTGGTGGTTTGGCAGGAAATCCAAGGCTAAAACTATGCCCATATGCCAACCACTCCATTTACGAACGAAACTTCCTCCGAACCTGATAGGTCGATTTTCATGGACCAATCGATATCGGATGAGTCCAAAAACTTGGGGAACAAAAATAATAGGTGGGGAGGAGTCATTTGGTTGGTTTTGAGTGAAATCCAATGGGCATAAATTACTATGCAAAACACCAACCACTTAACATTTACGAACCGACGAAACTTTCGTAAACCTGATATTGTGGCGATTTCATGGACCAATCGATATAGGATTGAGTCCAAAACTTGGGGAACAACATAATATGGTGGGAGGAGTCATTTGGTTGGTTTGGAGTGAAATCCAATGGCTAAAACTATGCAATACACCAACCACTCCATTTCAGAACGAACTTCGTACGAACCTGAATAGTCCGATTTCATGGACCAATCGATATCGGATTGAGTCCAAAACTTGGGGAACAACATAATATGGTGGGAGGAGTCATTTGGTTGGTTTTGAGTGAAATCCAATGGCTAAAACTATGCAATACACCAACCACTCCATTTCAGAACGAACTTCCTACGAACCTGAATAGTCCGATTTCATGGACCAATCGATATCGGATTGAGTCCAAAACTTGGGGAACAACATAATATGGTGGGAGGAGTCATTTGGTTGGTTTGAGTGAAATCCAATGGCTAAAACTATGCAATACACCAACTACTCCATTTCAGAACGAACTCGTACGAACCTGAATAGTCCGATTTCATGGACCAATCGATATCGGATTGAGTCCAAAACTTGGGGAACAACATAATGGTGGGAGGAGTCATTTGGTTGGTTTGAGTGAAATCCAATGGCTAAAACTATGCAATACACCAACCACTCCATTTCAGAACGAACTTCCTACGAACCTGAATAGTCCAATTTCATGGACCAATCGATATCGGATTGAGTCCAAAACTTGGGGAACAACATAATGTGGGGGGAGGAGTCATTTGGTTGGTTTTGAGTGAAATCCAATGGCTAAAACTATGCAATACACCAACCACTCCATTTCAGAACGAACTTCCTACGAACCTGAATAGTCCGATTTCATGGACCAATCGATATCGGATTGAGTCCAAAACTTGGGGAACAACATAATATGGTGGGAGGAGTCATTTGGTTGGTTTTGAGTGGCTAATATATTTCATGTCCATCGACATCGATGAAAGACTGTAGTCCAATTTTTGGGACCAATCGATATCGGATTGAGTCCAAAACATGGGGAACAACATAATGTTGGGAGGAGTCATTTGGTGGTTTGAGTGAAAATCCAATGGCTAAAACTATGCAATACACCAACCACTCCATTTAAGAACGAACTTCTACGAACCTGAATTGTCCGATTTCATGGACCAATCGATATCGGATTGAGTCCAAAACTTGGGGAACAACATAATATGGTGGGAGGAGTCATATGGTTGGTTTTGAGTGAAATCCAATGGCTAAAACTATGCAATACACCAACCACTCCATTTCAAAAAGAACTTCGTACGAACCTAAATTGTCCGATTTCACTACTACAAAAAAGGAAAAATACGACGGGAATTCACCGTCGTGTATTCTGTTTTCAAATGGTCGTGGAATCCACCGACATCTTTTCCACAACAAAACCATGACGGTAAATAACCGTCGTTGTTAAAACAAAAAACGTCATCAACAATAAAAACCGACGTCTTTGTACTGCAAAAAGACATAAAAAAACAGTCGAGGATGAGAATAGACGACCAACTCTAACAAAAAAACGTCGTTAAAAAGGAAACATATGACATATATTAACAGAACATGGCCGCAAGATACACATACAACGACGAGAACTAAAACTCAACGCCGTTAAATAAACCTTTAACACAAATAGAAATATGACGTCTTTAAATACATAATAGACGACGTTATTGACACCTACTACGTCACAACATTTCCAACAACCGTCGTAAAATAAATTTTCCACTTCGATTTTTCTATGAATGATGACGTGGAAATAGATGTCAGGGTCATTACTTACGACGCATGTATGTACAGAGACGACGTTGAAATAAATAAACAACGTCGGTTCCAAATAAATGAGAGCCGTATTACAGAATTTATACGTCATATTTTGAAATATAATCGTTGTGTAATGACTCTGAAACGGCATCGTTTCTCATTCCACCGCCGTGTAAAATAATTTTAACGACAGATCTGAAAATAACGACGTGGAAAAATGATGGGGTCATTAATTACGACACATTAATTTATAAAGACGACGTTGTCGTCTATATACAACGTCGTTACCATGAAAAAGACCGCCGTGTTTCATAATTTATACGTCTTCATTAAAAAAATTAACGTCGTCTAATTCATATATCTTAACGTCGACAAATTTAATGGACTTCAAATACCGTCGTGAATTCATCCTTTTCCACTTCGTTTATGAAAGAACATGCGACGTGGTAAATTCATGACGACGTCGTCTTTTGTAACGTTCAGGTTAAAGATCTCGTCTTTTAGACGTCGGTATTATGGGATTGGAGTCGTGTTATTTTGAATTACATGGCGGTTCTTTATGCTTGTCCGACGTGTTATCCTGATAACTGTTTCACAATAGCGTCGTGGTTCTTCATTGTTACGTTGCTTTAAGACGTCGGTAAATATATTGCGGTCGTTGAATGCTCCAAAACGTCGTTATTTTATTAGAACAGACGTTTGTTTTTCACATTTTTATCAAGACCGTCGTGTTTGTAATCTGGAACCAGTAATTTTTGTACTGATTGTTTTGTGGCCAAACCTGTATAATGAAAGTGAAGAAATCACATTACAATATATTACAAAATTAATGTCATACACTGCCAATTACATAAAGCATCATTCAATCCATATATCTTCACACCCATCTCGAATATTTTGACTCCCTAACTCACCCACCACTTCATCAAATGTGTCAACATTTGGCATCCCTCTAGTAAATGGCTCACACTCAATTCTCACATCACCTAAGACATCATCACCAATAACATCATTATATTCTCTATTAGGCATTGATAACACTACCGACCAACCACGATGCATCGGGTCGTCAACAAAAAATACTTGTTTGACTTGAGAAGCCAAAACAAATTGGTCATTCCTATGTCCAATTTTACTCAAATCTACAAGGGTAAATCCAAGTTCGTCCACTACAAGACCAGAAGTACTATCTATCCAATCACACCTAAAGACTGGGATTGTAAACTTTTGGTAGTCAAGGTCCCAAATTTCTTGAATGACACCATAGAAACCCATATTTGAGAGAATTGGGTTTTTATCCTTGGCACTAGCAACTTGCATAGTATGTGCAAGTAAATAAACTCCACTATTTTGAGTTGTCCGCACATCATCTTGTGCCTTGATGTTGAATTTAATACCTTTAATAAGATAGCTCCTATATAATGGCATTGCCATGTTTGGACCAGCTGCTAGCCACCTTAAATTTTCTGATACGCCATGATTGTCTTCCTCATTAAGTTCACTTTGAACCTGCAAATTAATCATAACTTAATTCAATCTAACATAGAAAGAAGAAATTAAAAGTCCAATATGTTATTCAATAACATATACCTTGAAGCGTAGCCATTGAATGAAAGTGCTATTGTGCTTATCCTGCAGCCACTTTGTTCTCTTTCTAAATTTTGGATAAGCGGTCTTGATGTGGATCATATGTTGCCTACATGACACAAAAATTCAAGTATTACGGTCCCAAACATATAAGATAAACATAAGAAATAATTTAAAATGGAAACTTAAAGAATAAAACTCATACGTACTCGATATAAGGTAGGACTTCCTCCGTATTCTCCAAGACATATAGATGTGCTTGGTTCAACAGGTCCCGATCAACTACGCTCACTGTGCAACCTGATAATGGCTTTGAAACTCCCATCTTTTGGCTTGAAGGCACTCCAACTGTACTAACATCAGATAAATGCTCGGTACAAAACTCTACAGCTTCTTCAGCTATATACCACTCAGCAATGCAACCTTCGGGATGAGTACGATTCTGAACATACCCCTTTAGCACTTTCATATATCTTTCAAACGGATACATCCATCTAAAATATACTGGCCCACATAGACGAACTTCTCTGACAAGATGTACTACTACGTTGGGGTTAAGTAATTAACGACGTTGTAAATAATAATAAACGACTCACTTGTAAAAAAAACGTCGTTTAAAAGAGAAACCATGTCGGATTTTTTCACTATCCGACGTAAACTCAATATTCCACGACTCAATCACCGTCGTTAAAAGTAATACCCTAAACTTTAAACCCATAAATTATATATTTTGTAAAATTTAATTTTATAAAATTGTTTATGGTTTTACAGCCTAATATATAACAAACATAAACCCTAAACCCCAAAAATTATACTTTAACCCTAAACCCTAATAAATAACAACCCTAAACCCCAAACCCTAAACCCTAAACCATCAAACTATAAGTGATGTTATGACTCATCAAAACAATTTTATTTTGGGTGGTCATTTTAAACTTTTATTACTCAAACTGCATTTTTTTGGGGTTTAGGGGAAAGAAAATATATCAATGACTTCATAGGAGTTGACGTTGCATTTTTTGATTTATTTTTAAATATTTTGAATTAAAAATAATAAAATATTCTTATATCAACAACAAACCACGGCGGGGTTAAGTAACTAACGACGTTGTAAATAATAATAAACGACTCACGTGTAAAAAAACGTCGTTTAAAAGAGAAACCATGGTGGATTTTTCACCATCCGACGTAAACTCAATATTCCACGACTCAATCACCGTCGTTAAAAGTAATACCCTAAACTTTAAACCCTAAATTATATATTTGTAAAATTAATTTTATAAAATTGTTTATGGTTTTACAGCCTAATATATAACAAACATAAACCCTAAACCCCAAAAATTATACTTTAACCCTAAACCCTAATAAATAACAACCCTAAACCCCAAACCCTAAACCCTAAACCATCAAACTATAAGTGATGTTATGACTCATCAAAACAATTTTATTTTGGGTGGTCATTTTAAACTTTTATTACTCAAACTGCATTTTTTTGAGGTTTAGGGGGAAGAAATATATCAATGACTTCATAGGAGTTGACGTTGCATTTTTTGGATTTATTTTAAATTTATTTTGAATATTTTGAATTAAAAATAATAAAATATTCTTTATCAACAACAAACCACGTCGGGGTTAAGTAATTAACGACGTTGTAAATAATAATAAACGACTCACTTGTAAAAAGGACGTCGTTTAAAAGAGAAACCATGGCGGATGTTTCACCATCCGACGTAAACTCAATATTCCACGACTCAATCACCGTCGTTAAAAGTAATAACCTAAACCCTAAACTCTAAATTATATAATAAACGACTTACTTGTTCAAAGGACGTCGTTTAAAAGCGAAACCATGGCGAAATTTTCACTAAAACGACGTCCCCATGGACATACAAACGGTATATCACGTCTAAATATCCTTTTAAGTCGGTTTTTGACATAATTATGTCGTTGGGTGTGCCTGGCAGAGTTTTCCAAATTGGTGCTTTACGGCCTGGTCTGCCTATGTGGGAATTATAAATTTTTAAAGCACTGTTCACGATGTTTTTGCCGTCCTCATCAACCACACGATTTCCAGGGCAGAGGATCCAAAAAATAGACGGTTTCCCTCTTTGCTCTCACAATCAGCAAGACCCAATGACGGCTGCACAAAATTAACATAAAAAACGACGGTTAATATAAAAAGTCAGCACAAGAAAACAAACGACGGTTATTTATAAAAACGACGTATTATACAGTTTCACACAACGAAATAACGTAGCAATCGACGTCATTATAAATTTATCACGACGGTAATTAACTAACGACGTGGTTAATTGTTTCAAACGACTCAATAAATAAAGAACCGACGTGGTTAGATGTTTCAAACGGCACAAAATTAGTTAAACAGTTTTATACGCAGTCAGTTAGTGAAAATCATACAAACAAAATCCTTTTAAGGAGACTAACCCTGGATTGTAAGGCATCATGAAAATCTGTTCACCATCTGTCTTCTGAAGTCGACTGGCTACAACTCGTGATCTGTCAGTTAGTGACCCAACGTTGGCACTAACTTGAGCAGGGTCGATAAAGCCAACCATGCTGCACATATTTGCTTCTCTCAAACAATCATATAAGCACTAAATATTTAAAACAAAGACATATAAAAAAGTCAGCACAAAAAACACACGACAGTTATTTATAAACAAACGACGTATTATACAATTTCACACGACGAACTGAAATAGAAACAGACGTTATAACTAATTTATCACAACGGTAAAAAAAAGAACAACGTGGTTAGTGGTTTCAAACGACGCAATAAATAAACCACCGACGTCTTATGCTATAATGATTTTTTTTTCAAACACAAATTTGAGTGTGAAATAAATATTTGATAAGGACAAACCTCATATATACTGCAACCAGAATAGCCCCAATTTCTTCCATGCCTGCTAACTGTGTAATATCTTCATGCAAGACGAAGGTACTGCGATCTGCACCAAACACCTCCTTCTCAATTGTGAAGGTCATGATCTTCTCCTGAGGCTTTAGTGTCGTTTTCACATAACGACAAAGGGATTGTAAGGAAGATGGCACCTCCACATTTGAATAATCAACTACTTCATTACCCTGTTTAAAGAAATAAAGCAAAATAAAATGACGTGGTAATTCAATAAAAACGACGGTTTAAATAAAAAACGTCGTCTGATAATAATTTAAACGACGGTAATAAAAAACCGTCGTGTTGAATAATTTATTACGTCATAGGAAACAAATTCCGACGTCTAATTTGAAAACAAACGACGGTTTAAAGAAAATATCGACGTCTGAAATTTGAAAAACAAATAAAAAAGGCAAAGTTATGAGAATATACCTCTTCGTCATGCTTTTCTTCCTCTTGTTTTTCTTCTTTCTTCTCTTCATCATTTTTTTCTTCCTTCTTCTCTTCATCTTTTTTTCTTTCTTTTTTCTTCTCTTCATCTTTTTTTCTTCTTTCTTCTCTTCATCTTGATTTTCTAAATCCCCAGATTTCTGTTTTAAGTAATAAAGAATATATATATATAAGACAGATTGTACAGAAAGTAAAAAAATTAAATCAAAACGTCGTGGTAAGGCATAAACATAAGACGGTATGTAAGAATTATGGACGTCTTAAAATTATTAAACGATGGTAAATAATAAACGTTGTGGGATTTGTCTATTACGTCGGTAAGGACTAAAACTGTCGTCTAAAAACACCACAAAGTACGACGTCTAATGGCATGTAAAACAAGTAAACTAAATACGACGTGGTATTGAAATACAAACGACGTTTTATTTATAAAAATCGTCGTGGTATGATTTTCAAACGACGGTTTTCTTATAATAACGACGTCTAATAGTTTAAAAAAAAAAAAAATTCAAAGTTCAGATATGTTACCGTTTTCTTCCTGCTGTTCCCCATTTTTGGCAGTATCATCCTCAAAATGTAGGGATCTCACATCAGCCCAGAGCAGCTTGCTTTGTCAGACATTGGATTTTTGGGACTTTGCTTTAGACCTGGTTTTGACAGGGGATAGTTTCGGTTTAAGCATGGGGAAAAAAAAAAAAAAAAAAAAAAAAAAAAAAAAAAAAAAAAAAAAAAAAAAAAAAAAAAAAAAAAAAAAAAAAAAAAAAAAAAAAAAAAAAAAAAAAAAAAAAAAAAAAAAAAAAAAAAAAAAAAAAAAAAAAAAAAAAAAAAAAAAAAAAAAAAAAAAAAAAAAAAAAAAAAAAAAAAAAAAAAAAAAAAAAAAAAAAAAAAAAAAAAAAAAAAAAAAAAAAAAAAAAAAAAAAAAAAAAAAAAAAAAAAAAAAAAAAAAAAAAAAAAAAAAAAAAAAAAAAAAAAAAAAAAAAAAAAAAAAAAAAAAAAAAAAAAAAAAAAAAAAAAAAAAAAAAAAAAAAAAAAAAAAAAAAAAAAAAAAAAAAAAAAAAAAAAAAAAAAAAAAAAAAGATTTTTCCCTCTCTGTGAAAAACTCAAGAACACAATCCTCTCTTTTTTAATGTAATGCAAATCCACAATTAGAAAGATCCAAAGCTCCCAAACTCTATAATCGCTCCATTGTCATCAGCTCCTTGGGAGGCCTGCGATCTATGGTATCCTCGGTATGATGATTAATGGCTTTTACCTAGCTATTGCCCTGTTTTGATTCTATGATTGAAGTGAAAACCCCTTCTCTTTTTCGTTCAGCAGAAGAGATTCCAGATGAAAGCAAAGTAGCATATCTCTTTTTCGTGCTGCTGCAGTTGTTCCTGGATTTTGGTAGAGATGGAGTCTCCACTACGAAAGAATCCTCTCTAATGTCCACCACATTCTTTGAAGCTGACTGAGTTCGGAGCTCCCGATTGACTTTGAGAGGTAAGTTCACTCTTGCTGGATTGATTTTGTTGGGTTTGATTTGTTTTTTGTGAGGGTGAGAAATTTGTCATTTGTGGCATCAATAATGCGTCATTTGCTCTGCTATCAATAATGCGTCATTTGACTTTGAGAGGTAAGTTCACTCTTGCTGGATTGATTTTGCTGGGTTTGATTTGTTTTTTGTGAGGGTGAGAAATTTGTCATTTGTGGCATCAATAATGCGTCATTTGCTCTGCTATCAATAATGCGTCATTTCCTTATGAATATTCAATATACTTAGTTGATTATTTTTGTTTGGAGGGGGATTGGAAAATTATGAAATGTAGGTAAAAGATCCTAAACTTAGGCTTAATGGCATTAGAAGTAAGCATTTGGAGAGGATATTGGGTGAAGTTCTGTAATTGCTGGTTTGAATTACATTTGAGTTCTTAGTTGAACATGTTGGTTCTAATGTTATTTTTTCCAGATTATTTCACAAGAGATGACGTAACTATTATTAATTTTGCTTGTGTTTTGTGTAATCAGAATCCAACAAGCTAGGCTATGCGTGTATTGTGTCAATTTGGGCAATGTTTTGTGTAAGTGGAATGCATTGCTAAGTTGTGATGCAGTAATGA